GCCTTAGGACAGGATCAGTCGTATGAGTTTAGCTTATGTGTTGTGATATGTTTATGTGTTATTACTTGTTGGCGGGAGAGGCCCTGTGACAGGCGAGGCCTAAGTAAAACAGAACTGTATCCGAGCGGGGCTTGAAGCCAGGCGGGGCCTGGAGTGGCGGGGCTGTTGTAGCGGGCGAGGCCCGAGGTAAGGGGTGAGGCCCAAGATAGCGGGCGTGGCCCAGTATGTGCAGTATGTGATTATGCATGGTATGTGGTAGGGTGGGGAACTCACTAAGCTTCGTGCTTACGGTTTTCAGTTTTGGTTTCACGTACTTCCGGTAGCGGAGGGAAGAGCTCGACGTGATCGCATGGCACACACCATAGATTAGACAGCCTGGGAATGTTTACTCTGATAATGAACATGTGTTTTGAAAGTTAATACTCTGATTATGTTTTGGAATGATGACTTTGCTTAAAGTAATTTTTTTTAAAAGAAATTTTTGGTCTTAAATTTTGGGTCGTTACAAGTTGGTATCAGAGCCTTTGGTTTGAGGGATTCGGACATGCTCTCGGGTGTGTCTGAACTCAAACTGAGGAATTAGTAAAGAAGTTTTCAAAATGAAAAGACAGTTTTGTAAAAAGAGAGTTTTGAGAAAGAAAACAGTTTTAGAAAAGCAAAAAGAATTCAGAAAGAAAACATATTTGAAAAGAGAAAAGAGGTGTGGTGCATGCAATCAACCAAGCTCAAGTAAGTACCCCAAAATACCCATACAAGTCTATGTTTTGATTATCAGTTAATAGAACAACATGCTTGATTAGGACTAAGGATCTAGAGATGATGCCTTATGTGCCTATTATATGTGCTTTTGATATGCATGATAGTGCTGAACAAATAGTAGTAGGATAGCCTGTTTAGGTTATGCCTAAGTGTATGAGTTTGTGTTGCACGCTAGTTCAGATTCTTGTTATGTGGAGATGATTACTTGAGTATGTTATGGTTAGATTTTCCCTTGTCTGAATGATGCTTGCTTTGTGCATTGTGGGATTCTAAGTGATGGGAGTTAGCCATTAGGTGGATACGACACATCACATGTGATCAGGGTTGAATAATCTCAAAGTGTTGGATTTGGTCCTATTGCGCAGCTCTTATTTGAGTCCAACCGTTGTAGGAATGAGTCTTTTACTTGAAGGATTATCTGAGCCTCGTCACATGTGATGGTATCCAAGTGATGGCTAATTGGCATCACAAGGAGACCTTCAGCAGCTGAGGGCTGGTTTGAGTTGAGTCAGAGGTTTCCCTAGGGTAAGCCTAGGATGAGGTAGTGCTGGGAGCGGTAGTAGTAGAAAAGGGACCTGGTGGAGTCGAAGTAGTTCTTGAGGAAAGTACGGATAGATGTGGAAGGTAGTATGGGCCCGTACTACTGAAAGCAGAGGATCCGTACTCGATTCGGGAAAGGCCGAGACAAGACCGGGAACCTGGTAGTGAGTATGTTTGGTCTCGCAGCACTGATGAGTATTCTGATTGTGGTTATGTTATATGTTTCAGTATGGTGACGTTGCGAGAGAGACCAGCGGGCGGATCAGGCGCCGGAGAGGGATCAGGCTCGGGTTCAGGGGCCGAGCAGCTCGAGGAGCAGATGAGAGAGTTGATATCAGCTGAGGTTATGTGCAATATTCTAGCTCAGACTCCTGTGATCTTTGGCACGGTCAAGGAGGGTATATTGGAGATTTTGGATGAGAGGCTGAGAGCCTTCCGTACTGAGATGATGGCATTGATGGGAGCCCGTACCTTGACATTTCGGGGAGTTTAGGGCTTGCGGGGCACCAGATTATCATGGGGCTAGGGACCCCCATCGCTAGCAGTAGATGGTTGGCTGATGTTGCCAACATGTTCCGTACAAGCCGGTGTCCTGAGGAGGACAAGGTCAGACGCGCTTCCTGTCTTCTGAAGGATAGAGCAAGGGATTGGTGGGAAGAGATTGGTCATGCTTTGGGTGATGATTCCGCGTTGGACGCGACGACTTGGAGCGATTTCTCAGCTAGGTTCAGGGCGGAGTTTTCGCCAATTATTGAGGTGCAACAGTTGGCCCGGGAGTTTCAGGATTTGACGCAGACCACTAAGACTTTGGCGGAGATCACTACCAAGTTCAGGGAGAGGACCCTTCTTGTTCCGCAGTATGTCACGGATGAGGAGATGAAGAAGGCCTGATATCACGAGATGTTTAGGGCTGACATCAAGGGGTTCGTGAGTAGGTCTGGCTGTAAGACGCTGTAAGATATGATTTCTCGGGCCAGGGAGAGGGAAATTGATTTGGAGCAGATCCAGAAGAGGAAGCCGGATAAGGTTCAGGTAGCTGCGAGTTCGGGCAAAAGGCCCAAGGGATCCGATTCGAGATCGAGGGATTATCAGGACCGCAGTCGATGCGGG